CACCCATTCCTATACACCTTCTGATAAGGATCCTGCCCAATGCCTCAGGTGAGAATTTACAATTATTATTATAAATACCACAATTATCCAAAAAAAAAAATCATTATTGGAAAAGAGGCATAAGATGGTGTTCCCCTCCCCATTTCCACACTACCTCCAGAAGCTGACTGGGTTGGCAGCTGAATCTTACCTCACTGGTGCAACACTGTACACCTCAGAATACAATGGGCAGGTATGACGTTAATTTTCAAAACTTTCAACAGTAGACTCACCTCTAGATTTTGGTGAGGCAAAGCCTCAGATATCTTGTCATATTGGCATCCCTGCCAACTGATGAAAGGAGGTGAATGATAGAATTGGAGACATGGTGTCACATGAATGGACCAGGAAAGAACTGAAATGGAGAGGATCTGGCATAGCTTATTGGTTGGTAAGCAAAGTTCAGGCCACAGTGCAGCCAAGCAGTGCCCAGATCTGCACTGTTACTTAGCCGTGCTGGCAATACTTCTCCTGAGCTCTTGGGTCAGTGACATCCCTTTGCAAAAACCCCTCTTTTCCCCAACCAAGCAATGGCCAAGAGGTATTCATGTTTTGTAGGCTGGATTGATAAAATAACTAAAACTTTCAACAAGAATTCTTACAAAGTGAAGAATTGCAAAGGAAAGCAAGAAAATAATAGTATACTAGAATAATTCCTTAAAATATCATTATTCACTGGTAGTTCTATAAAGATGCAAATATAACTGTTGGAGAGACCTAAGAAATAGCAGCAAAAGCAAATGGCAAATCATTGGAGGCCTGTTTCCAGGCAAACCTGGAAATTTCAAGTCATTTTACAGACTAGTCGAAAGTAGTTTTTCCCCTTCATAAGAACTGCCATTACTGTTGTTTTCTATCCACCTAGTTTACAAGGTTCAGAGGAAGGGCAAAATAAAATGGGGCATACTGAGCTGTGATCTACAGCTGTTGAAGGCAGCAATAATGACTGTCAGTCAACTTGCCATTTTCTTCATATTTTTCCTGACAGTTACAAAAAAAAAAAAAAAAAATGCAGGCTGCACCTGAACATAGTGTTCCCTTCAAAGCAGCACTCTCCCGCCTTCTCTGTCATAGATTCTGGCTTGCCTTCAGAAACTTTTGTTTTCCACAACCAACCAAGCATTAAAGAGGAGATGGGTCATTCTTTGTATTATAGGTGGCGACTTCAGTGTGATGTTCAGAGAAAGAATCTAATCCTAGCAAATACGAAAGCACAGACTCATCCAAAAGCACTTAATGTTCCACTTCATACAGAACCACAAGGACAACACAAAGCATTCAAAGCATATCTTTGTGTTGCCCAAGCTTCTTCTTGGCACAACAATACACCCACAACACTAATCACCCATCTACAGAAAAAGACAAAAGCCTATCTCACAGCCATAAATACTGCACTCCTAAGCCAACTACACCAGAGCACAGAGTGCTGTCCTCTGAAGATGCCGGCCACAGAGACTGGCGAAACGTTAGGAAGAACAACCTTCAGAACACAGCCAAAGAGCCCAAAAAACCCACAACAACCATTCAAACAGTGCTCCTGTGCAAACATTTCCACTAAAACCAAAGCATAGACTTATATTATGTTGTTGCTGTTGCTTAGTCGTTAAGTTCTGTCCAAATATTCGTGACCCCGTGGACCAGAGCATGCCAGGCCCTCCTGTCTTCCACTCCTCCCGGAGTTTGGTCAAATTCATGTTGGTAGATGACACTGTCCAAACATCTCATCCTTTGTTGTCCCCTCCTTCTCTTGCCTTAACTCTTTCCTAACATCAGGGTCTTTTCCAGGGAGATTTATCTTCTCATGAGATGGCCAAAGTATTGAAGCCTCAGTTTCAGGATCTGTCCTTCCAGTGAGCACTCAGGGTTGATTTCCTTCAAAATGGATAGGTTTGTTCTCCTTGCAGTCCAGGGGACTCTCAAGAGCCTCCTCCAGCACCACAATTCAAAAGAATCAATTCTTAGGTGGTCAGCCTTCGTTATGGTCCAGCTCTCACTTCCATACATCACTATTGGAAAAACCATAGCTTTCACTACATGGACCTTTGTCTGCAAGGTGATATCTCTGCTTTTTAAGATGCTGTCTATGTTTGACATTGCTTTCCTCCCAAGAAGCAGGTATCTTTTAATTTCATAGCTGCTGTCACCATCTGCAGTTATCAAGTAGCCCAAGAAAGTAAAATATGCCACTGCCTCCATATTTCCCCCTTCTATTTGCCAGGGGGTGATGGGACCAGTGGCCATTATCTTAGTTTTTTTTTTTTATGTTGAGCTTCACACCATTTTTTGCACTCTCCTCTTTCACCCTCATTAAGAGGTTCTTTAATTCCTCCTCACTTTCTGCCATCAGAGTGATATCATCTGCATATCTGAGGTTGTCAATATTTCTTCCAGCAATCTTAATTGGGATTCATCCAGTCCTGCCTTTCATATGATGTATTCTGCATATAAGTTAAATAAGCAGGGAGACAATATACAGCCTTGTTGTACTCCTTTCCCAATTTTGAACTAATCATGTGTTCTATATCCAGTTCTAACTGTTGCATCCTGTCCCACATACAGATTTCTCAGGAGATAGATAAGGTGGTCAGGCACTCCCATTTCTTTAAGAACTTGCCATAGTTTGCTGTGGTCCACACAGTCAAAGGCGTTTGCATAGTCAATGAAGCAGAAGTAGATGTTTTTTCTGGAACTCTCAGGCTTTCTCCATAATCCAGCGCATGTTAGCAATTTGGTCTCTAGTTCCTCTGCCCCTTCGGAATCCAGCTTGTACTTCTGGGAGTTCTCAGTCCACATACTGCTGAAGCCTACCTTGTAGGATTTTGAGCATAACCTTGCTAGCGTGTGAAATGGGTGCAATTGTATGGTAGTTGGAGCATTCTTTGGCACTGCCCTTCTTTGTGATTGGGATGTAAACTGATCTTTTCCAAACCTCTGGCCACTGCTGAGTTTTCCAAACTGGTACATTGAGTGTAGCACATTAACAGCATCATCTTTTAAATTAAATAATTCAACTGGAATGCCATCACTTCCACTGGCCTTGTTGGCCATGCTTTCTAAGGCCCACTTGACTTCACTCTCCAGGATCTCTGGCTCAGGGTCAGCAACCAGATCTTTCTGGTATAATTCCTCTGTGTATTCTTGCCACTTCTTCTTGATGTCTTCTGCTTCTGTTAGGTCCCTACAATTTTTGTCCTTTATCATGTCCATCTTTGCTCAAAATGTTCCTTTAATATCTTCAATTTTCTTGAACAGATCTCTTGTTTTTCCCTTTCTATTATTTTCCTCTATTTCTTTGCACTGTATGTACTAAAACTAAAACAGGAGAAATGCAATACGGGAAGGGATAACATTTTCTACAAGTTCTTATACAAAGCAAAGGGCTATTTCAGAATGTATTTCTCAGATTTAATATGTTGACTTCTGGATTCCTCTTAGCATGAGGTAGATTGGATTTCATCCAAAGTACATATTTTAGCAGTACATCAGTAATCTTTTTCTTATCCTCTTCAGTCTGAGACATTTGGATTTTCCATGTTTTGTCGTCTTCCAGTGCTGAGAAATGGAACGAACACCTTCTAGTGTCAGAAGGGCTTTCTTGGATGCCACCTCTTCTGTCAGCCCTTCACACCTTTTACTTGGAATTTTCCTTAAATTTTGTAATACTGCAACTTGGGTTGGAAGGGACAGGGGCTAAATGTTATGCTCTCTGCCCATAACCTAGCTTAAGCAGTGGCAGGAAATATTTGGGAGCAGTGCATTTGATGGAGATAATAGCACAGTGGCCACCTCCAATGATCTCCCAACTACAGTATGAAGGTGGAGGCATAGAAAGCTCAAGGGAAAAGAGCAGGTGTACTACCAAGTACTGTCAAATAATACAATAAGCTCTACAATAAGGCAACATCACGTATAACTGTTTTCCCTGTATTCCAAAATAAATGTATGTGGATGTGTTTATGGTGTATGTGTCTGTGTGTCCGTCTGTCTCTCTCTCTCTCTTGGGGTGTGTGTGTGTGTGTGTGTGTGTGTGTGTGTACAGACAGAGAGAGAGAAAGAGACAGATGGAACACACCTGCCTTGAAATCCTAATATGCTCTCCTAGACAGTATCTTGAATACCTAGAATACCTTTAATATCTTTTGCAAAATAGTGAATGTTGCTTATTCCATGACCAAAGACAATTTTATACAAGCAATAGCATTTTAATAACATGAAAATAGGTGATCCCCTAAAAACAAAACAAAACACTCCACACATATAAATACCCTACTCATTAGTTCCATTATAAGCATGTCTGTAAATAAAATGGGATGTCAAGTTCCTTACTATGGTCTGCAAACAAAACAGATCAGAATAAAGGAACAAGATGTCAGATGAAAATAAATATGCAATACAAAGCAGTATAATAAACTTATTGCATGCAGATACTTTAACTCTGTCCCAAAGAAAATAAAACTATCAGCCATTGTGATGATCTAACAGGTAAGGATCTAAAAGAGAAGAAAGGAGGCCTTCGCTATGGCCACCACGAAAGTGGGAAAACAGAAAAAAAGCTGGACATGAGAGGTTTTGCATTTCATTTGCACAACAATAGTACAGTAGCTTATGAGCTATTACAAAGAATGTTCTTATAATAATCTTCAGGAACTACTAGTATCATTGTAATGTGAAGGCTTTCTTGTGTTCCTGAACTGTAAGAGATTTTAGATCACTTGGCAGAAGGGGGACAATAACTGGAAAGCATTCTTAATCAGGAACAGGACAAGCTCAACAGAAGATTCTAGGCATTTACGTCTAGCATTTTTTTTTCCTAAAATGCCTAAACAGATAATCAAAAACCAATAAAGCAGTACAGTAAAAAGAAAACTTTTTAAAACATACAGTGTGGTTAGAACTTTTGCTTGAAATAACTAGACTCAGGAATGAGAACAGTGGTAATATTATCAGCGCATGCTACTCACCACGTGAAGATAAGACACAGCAATGTAGATATTAAAATCAAAACTTGATTAAACATTGCAGACTGTGTGCGCTGGATGGCTCTATGGAGATCATTCTAAATTAAAAGAAAATGGAGAAATGAACAGTATTCAGATATGATGATGATTATGATAATGAAAATACTAAAAATTCATACAGCATTTCACATCCATATATACAGTCTATATTTCATACTTCCAATACTGTGATAATTGTAGATATTTATATGCCTGTTATTTCTGTTTCTAGTGAAATATAAAGAGTAAGGGAAAAACAGATAAAGCATTTTTAAAAAGGAAACTCAATACACCATGAATCTCTAGAACAGCCAATAATAACATTCTGAAATCCATGACTGATGCAACAAATTGTAGTACAATCAGTTAAATCAAAGTTGAGCTAACAAGACAGCAAGTAATTATTTAAAATTTAAAGAAACAAAATGATCAAACGCCTTCTGAAATAACAAGTCCTAGGCTCAACTCCTATATGTACTGACTAGGGAGTAAGTCTCATTTTGAAACTTATTTCTGAATAGATATGTAAAATTGCATTTTCATACTCACAGGAGACCTTGCTCTGGATGTTAAGTAGCCTGTACACAGTTCTACAAATTGGTCATCATTGGGAGGACATGCCCTTTGAATCAAGTTAGAATGACCGAGAATTTTCGAACTATCAGAAGAGATGTGGAAAATCTATCAGAGGAGGAGTCTTTTAAGGTAATATCCAGGATTTGAGCATTTGTGGCTTTAAAAACAAGAATAGGCAAAGGCAAAGCGGTAGACTACATGAATGCCATTGCTCTTCAGATCTTGCACCCACAGTCATGATGGGAAGTGGGGCAATTCAGCATGAAAATGGCAAAATACACCTAGGAGAGTTTTTTTTTTAAAGAAAAAACACCCTAACAAACTATTTACGGTTGTTGTGGTGTTTTCGGGCTCTTTGGCCGTGTTCTGAAGGTTGTTCTTCCTAAGGAGGAAGATGGCGACCACAGAGAGTGGTGAAACGTTAGGAAGCACAACCTTCAGAACATGGCCAAAGAGCCTGAAAAACCCACAACAACCGTTAGATCCTGGCTGTGAAAGCTTTCGTGAAAACAATTTACGGCCTTAAAAAAAGAGAGAAATCGCCTGTAAATGGCCAGTGATGCTCCCAAGAGGCTTCTGAGGATACAATTGGACTAGAGATGGTGACAAAGCGCCGAAATGGCCCTTCGTCTTGGTTTGTGAGTCATTAAACTTGACAACCCACAAATTACAAATTGCCCTCCAGTGACCTGACGAACAATGAATCAATCTGTCATTTGTCAGGTCATTCCCCCCCCCCTTTCCCTCCTCTTGCTATGCCCCGCTTGGCATAGCAAGCAGAGGGAAAGCAGGGATCAAAGCAATCACACAGTGCTTTGATCCCTTTTCCCTCCTCTTGCTAAGCCCCATGCAGCATAGCAAGAAGAGGGAAAACACGGATCAAAGTGATCCTACAGCAGCTTGAGGATTCCTTTGATCCCTGTTTGATCCCTTCCCTCCTCTTCTTATGCCATGCAGGCATAGGAAGTGGAGGAAAGGGGAACCAAGTAATCTTCCAGCCCCGGTGTTGGGATTCCCTTAGGGCAGGCTTTAGCAAGCTGCCCGAAAGGAAAACCCTTCTCTGCTTATGCCCCCAAGAAACAGCTGATCCATGTGGGCATAAGCAGATAGGGAATGAAGGGACGGATATAAAAGGGTTATATTCATCGCTTCATATCTTTTGGGGTCTCTCAACCTCAAAAATACAAAGCAATGAATACCTGATGAATCAGGGATATTTAACAATTATTTTTATTTTTATATTTGCCCCTATATCTAAATTGGACTTTTAAGCATTGGGGTGTTTTTTTTCAGGCTGGTTGGTTGATTTGGCTTGCTCTTTGGTTTTTTTACACAGGGGATCATTGGTGTGTGAAAGCAGTCTGTTGAGTTCAGGGAGAGGCAAAAATGCCAACAAGGAAAAGTCCTTGAAACCAGACAAATATTAAACATTCATTAGCCAGCAGCGACTACAGATTTTAACAAAGTTCAGATCTCCAGCTTCAAAGCGGTTTGGGTTCATTATACAAGATCTAGAATCTGCACTATATTCAAGGAGTAAGACTAAGAAAATTAGCTGGCAGCACTGTTATTCCTAAGTTGGTACTTCTGTTGCATATGCTTAGTCCCTGCTTCACTTTGCCAGTTGGAGCAGTCTCCAATGCCGAATACACTAGACAGAAATAAGTAGAGCAGAGCAGTTCTTTGGCCCTATCCCCATATTCTGTTTTTATTTCCCCCATGGTCTGCGTACTACCATGGTATAGTAGCCAAGCATATAAAGCTTGGCATGTTATAGGCTTAGACTTTCATGGCTATGGAATCAGTAAAAAAAAAGGACAGAGTCAAAAGAATTAATGATGGATCAACGATTCTGCTATAAACATAGAGAATACATTTGGATTCATGAGTGTGAAACTGCAAAACTACAGGAAGGTAAAATCAAAGTTTGAAGAAAGGAACAGCAAAACAATTTTGATATTTGAAAGGCAATTCAAAAGGTAATTAAGTTAACGTATTTGGATTTTTGCCAGTTTATTCTCATGGACTTTTAGTGACATCATACAAGCTTGAATATAAATATCATGGCCAAAGTGGACTGACGAACAACTCCTGGCCTTCTTTTGGACTGCCTTTCTCCAAGAAAACTGGGAAGAGAAGAAGAGACTTATTTTTTCCTTAAATCAATTCCTATTTAAGTGTTTCTGTTATACTTACAATCATATTTTCCAAAGCATGTTTGGCCAACCAGCAGTTTAGAAATACTGGGATAAACAAATTTCTTAAGGCAGGCCAGAAAATCTGAAAGAAGACAGAAAAATACATCAAATGCATCCATCCTCTAAGCTTCCTTTGCCAAAGAAACTGTGTCTAATGAACAGAAAAGGATAGGGCTTTCATTTGAAAAACCCAGATCCAAAGCCTCATTGATTCTGTGTGAGGCAACAAAAGAAAGCAAAATATATATAAACAGGAAGAACTCTTGACATTTGATTTATTCTTTTTTAATAGTAATCTTTACTTTGAAAGTGATCCTTAGCTACATGTCTACTCAAATGTATACACACACCAGACAGTCATTTGCCCTGTAGTTTGGTCCAGGCCGGGGAGCAATGGGTTGATTCATTCTTTTTTCTAGTGGTCACATGACATATGTGCCATTGAAAATCCGTCCACCCTTGAAAAATGTCTACCCACCCATTTTTGGGTCCCTGTCAGGGCCTACTTTTTTTCTGCAGGCAGGATCTGTCAATTTGGTTTACCTCTAGCATGTCTGACAGCTGGGATCAAACAAAAGCAGGCAACTGGCTCTCCTTTTGATGAAGCAACTTAACTATCTTGCAAAATGGGAAGCTTTATTTCTGCTTGCCTGCAGATGGGAAGGAAGGGGATGTTTTCCGTTTGTTTTGAATTGCTGTTAAAATATCAGTGATGCTTTAAAAGTGCTTTTTTTTTAAAAAAAAAAAAAGTTCTTGTGTCAGCAACAATGAGAAGGTAATGAAACTCCCCACTTCCCCTCTGCAGTTTTCCATTTCTCAAGACTGTTAGATGGTTTAGGCAAAGCACAGAGGAGGAGACAGGGATGTTTGTGTTTTGTTTTGGCTTTCCCTTAAAGATTGATCTAGATAGTGCTCAACAAGGTTGCTTGAGGTGCAGCGTAGTCAACGCTTGCGTGTGGATGCAAGGATCACCACAAATGACTTACCACGTCTCAAAGCCACCCTGTTTAGCACAATCTCTAGACCAATCCAGGCTGTGTTCATTGGGCTGTCTAGTTGCACCCTCACGTCTAAGCCCAGTTACTCAGAATTAGATTGTCCAAGGGTGAAAAACCACAAACTTTGTTACTCTGATTTTACAAGTAGTTTTGTTTTCTGATGGGATAAGGGGTATATTCTCTGTCACAGGGAAGAGTGCAAACTATATCTTATAATACACCTTTGACATTATGTGAAGCACATTAGTTATATTTTTTAAAAAATTGTGATCACAGTCTGCTTACAATCTAAATTAAGAAGATAATACAAGCTACAAATTGTTGTTAGGAAAAAAGGAATGAAAAAGATTATACCAAAAATAGCTTGAAAAATAAACTCTAAACCCATTAAATTAAATTTGTTTTTACCAAATCCAATTAGCAACTCCATTAATCAATTAAAAATGTAGTTCATTAAATCAATTCAAACTTAGAGCTTTACACAATCATTAAGAGAAACTTCTAGTCTGAACTTTTAAAGTAAAATAGCTCACTAGGAAATCTCAGTGGTCTGCCACTCACAATAACAAAAAATAGTGATAGAGACTTACTGTAATGATAAAAGGAATAGCATTAATAATTTCCAATAGGAAAGGAATCCGCACAACTTGTTCCCATATATTTCCCTTTTTAAGAAAAGAAGCAAAACAAAATGCAGTGTTATCTGCAAGTTAACCTGGCACATGAAAAATGTGACACAGTGAATGACACACAGCCAAATTATACTGTGTTCTACATTCTGAAATACCTCAGTTTTCATACAAAGAACTATCCTTTATATGGTCATATCAAGGTCTTTTTAGGAACAAACTACACATTACAGATAACGTACCACTATAGCTGAAATTGCATTAGCATTTTAGAGACTTGATTTAGGCAAATATTCATGTCTGTAAATGATGCCATTTAGCAGCCCACTTACAGAAAACCAAAGCAAGCCATTTTGCAGACCACCTGAGGTGAGAAAAACTTCTGCTGTGGCAATCAAATGTTTTATTTCGTTAAGGAATGCCTTCTTCTAATGCTGGATAATGAGTAACACACAGTTCAGCAGAAGAACGGTTTATAGTCTATTAATATGTGAGTGAGGAGTGGGATCAAGTCAAATAGCTCTACACCAAGTACTTCCACCAGCATGTATAATTGTGAGGGATAATCCTTTGTACATGCAGCTATACGCATGAGGGTTCCCATCCTGCACATATCTGCATACACAGATTGATGGCCATTTGGAGCACGTACGTGTGCAAGGTTCATGGCACAATCTGAGTGTTTGTAGACCATGGGACTTCTTCTCAATATCGTTTCCATCAGAAGTCATTATAATATTTGTTCCTTTTCACAAATTATGGAACAATCATGTTTACATCTGGTTTATCCCACATAATTCTAAGAGACTCATGCATATTTTAATAATGGGTACACATGTTATACAGCTTGATTTGCACAACCAGAGATCTTGCAAAAAGTACCCGCTCTCATTCTTAATGTGAACACTGCACACCTACAAGTGCTTAGGCGGAGGGTGGAGCTTTACACCAAGACCCCACTCTTCCCTATGCATGTTCACATTTAGGCCTTACTAAGCAGCCTTTCAATGTATAAGAGAAGGGTGTTTTATTGCCAGTGAGCTCAACCGGCTTGAGCTCTCTTCCACAAGCCTCACTGAACTGTCCTGTAGCTACACACAAGAGGACTTCAGTTCATTAGAGTTAAATATAATGGAACCAGTTGCAGACTAAACAACAGAGTGCAAGAACTCCATTTTAGGCCCTACAACACAGAGCTACATGCAGAGGGATGTAACAGCAGCAGGGCGTTGGTAGTGTTAGGGTCCTAGGATACTATTAAGCAATAAGTGAGATCTCTAGTTGCCACATGAACTACGTAAATATTTATTTTTGTTTTTAAAAGAATAACAAAAAATACTAATACTTATTTCAGGCTCCAATTATAAACAAAAAATGAATTATCTTTATTTAGAAGCAGTGCAATATTGTTTCAGTTAGTTAATCAGGAAAAGCTAATCAGTAAGTCAGGAAATTGTGTGTTTCAGGAGGAAAGCCATGACCATTATCCCCATAGCACACAGGTGCTCTACCTTTCTCCTCTCAATGTAGAGTAGTAGTTCCCAACCTTGGGTAATCCAGGTGTTCTTGGACTGCACCTCCCAGATACCTTCATCACTAGTTGTGCTGGCTGGGGCTTCTAGAACTGGCATTCCAAGAACACCTGGATTATCCAAGGCTGGAAACCACTGATGTAGAGGAACACTGCAAGTACACATCGTTCTTATCATCCCAGGTGGAGAGCATTTCCTACTGATGATCAGAGCAGTTCAGCACATGCTTATTCATATGTCACAGATGTCAGAGCACACATTTGCACGACAGCGATTGGTTAAAAGTAAAAGGAGATAAAGGTTCATCATAGGCATCCTTCAGTCTCAAGAGACTATGGTAACATGCTCTGAATCGAGGAGTGTCCTCTCCAGAGCATGAAGCCCGGGTAAGGTAATATGGAGGATAGGCTGTTACCCAAGCAGCAGATCCCCCCTCTCCACATTGCTGAAATGATCCAATGGAAGGGCAAGAGCCAATACAACTGGTTCCAGCAACGTCGCAGGAGTTGGCAGAACGACACATGCTGCCTTCGGGGCTCCAGCTCCGGATTTTGCCTCGAGGTTAACTCCTGAAGCCTTTTCCATGAGTGGATATAGCCACAAGGCAGTGGAGGTTTGAAATCGGAGGTTTCCTTCTCCTAGATGGGCTGCCTTCCATGGCTGACGAGCCCCACCTACCCGGAGATAAAGGTTGAAGCCTGGCAAATTAAAAAAATTAACATCTAATCTGGAGATTTACAGTGCTGTGGTGTTTGACTGTAATCTCAAACAAGATCATAGTCATCCAGCAGGCCACTTGAGATTATTCAGTTGCTGTATATTTCTTTTGTTATAATAAAAGCTGACTGTCATACTAGTACAAAATATGTCATATTGAGAGGATGATGGCTGATCTGTTACAGGCATTTTTGAAGGAAACAGATAGTCTGGATCCATTTCACTTGAGGTTTAGGCTGTGGCATGGCACTGAAATGGCATTTGTTGCCCTGCAAGACAGTCTCCTATAGGAGGCAGACGGGGGAAATAACCCCGTTGGTTCTTTTAAGATCTTTCTGCAGCCTTTAATACCATCAGCCACAGTATCCTTCTGAGAAAGTTATCAAATTTAGGGATCAGGGGCTTCATTCTCTGCTGGTTCTGGCCTTTCCTTGATGGACAATCCCGCACTGAAATGGCATTTGTTGCCCTGCAAGACAGTCTCCTATAGGAGGCAGACGGGGGAAATAACCCCGTTGGTTCTTTTAAGATCTTTCTGCAGCCTTTAATACCATCAGCCACAGTATCCTTCTGAGAAAGTTATCAAATTTAGGGATCAGGGGCTTCATTCTCTGCTGGTTCTGGCCCTTCCTTGATGGACAATCCCAGATGGTACAGCTTGGGGATGCTGTCTCCATCCCTTGGTACAGGGTCTCACACAGATCAACCATCTCCCTAATGCTCTTCAACATCTACATGAAGCCACTGGGACGATTCATATGGAGTTCTCTCCTTCGCTTCATCTGCAGGGGATGCCGTGTGAGTTCTTGAGTGTTGCCTACCACCTATAATGAATGAAGGTCAATAAACTTGATCCAGATGCAGATCCTACTGTTAAGAGGATCATCAATTAGAAGAAAATTTATCTGGCCTTGATGGGGTTACAGTCCCCCTAAAGGATCAGGTCCACAGCTTAGGGGACTCCTGGACCTGCTATTCACTATGGAGGCTCAAACACTGACGGTGGCATTTTATCAACTCATTGCAAGAATAGTTAATGCAGTATATCAGAAGGAAGTCAGTCTGCAATGATCAAAATATAATGGCTGAAGACTGGTTCGACCACCATGTGTAGAATATCACATCACAAGGAGGTTTTCTTAGAAGGATCTACTGAATAAAGTAACGGTCTCCTACTGAGAAGGCATGTCTTCTATGAGCCAAGCCAGGTGATGAGTTGGGTTGGAAAGGGAAAGCTGTGTGAATTACAATTTTAAAATCCACAAGATGCTTGAATTCTTGAGACAAAACAACACTGCTTGCAACAACTTATAAATGGAGGCAATGAACATCTTTTAAAACTTTAAGAGAAACATAGTGTCCAGTGACACTAGTGTAAAGTGTAAAGTGACTTACTAAAAATACACTTTTAAAATATATTGCTGTAAATACTTACTTTATAGCTGAGATAGCTCAGAAGTATGGTTTCCAGCAAACTTATTGAAGCCACTGATACCTAAAGAAGTGACACATGCATGAAATATTGCAAAATCTGAGAACTAAGCAAACATGAAACAAAAATGTACACAATATCGAAAGGTGGTCAATAGTAGCTGAGAACAGAAACATTCAAACCTTCAATAAAGCCTTCAAACTCTTAATTTGGGCCTTTGCTGTCAAAACACTTGGCATGCAGAGCACATTTTGAATTGCTTCTATATTGCCAATACAAAAGTGAGCACTTTCTCATGCTTCAGTATATTAGGTTTCTCTCCAAATGTGGATCAGTTTGACAGCATTGTGGAGACCTATCTAGCAGCAGGAGCCATACAAAAAGAGGTTAACAGGATGTGTCTCAGTACAACAGAAAAAGCATAGGTTCTTCCTTTCTACAGACCCAGTGTCTACTCATTCATTGAGAACTGAGTTATTAGATTTCTTGGAATATTGTTGATGGCCTAGAATGCTGCCTAATTTAGCAAGCCAAAAATAAGCAGAGTCAACTAGCAATGCTTGTTGGTCTTGGGACAAGAGCTGAGGGCAGAGTTCCCTCTCTGACCCACTCCTCAGTCATTTAAAGAACCCCACACATGGCCTTATTTATTGCCCTCTTCCCTGTCCTTGCAAATTGCACATTTACAGTTTATCTGTGAAGAAGTGGATCTTGATCTGCAAAACTCACACTGAAACAGATATGCTAATCTGTAAAGTACCTACAGTAGTTTTTGTTCGAGGTTTTCCCCTCACTTTCTTCCTTTCTCTCTTTCCCCCTTTTATATTTATTGATGGGTCCAGGCATACATCCTAGAGCAGATTCACTAAAATAAATAGCATTGTGATATCTGTGGATCTGTGTGAGGCAGGATTTACACTGGATTTAATTTATAGCAATTATCTAAATTTGCGGTGACTCATGAGGCCTCTTTATTTGTCCTGTGTCCAAGTGGGTGAAATGCATAAGTAAGGTGACTGAGCTAGCCTACCCCATCTATTATGGCTTTGTTTATGTGAAAGGGCAGTTCTGAAGTGGGGAGACTTGTCAATCTGACCACAGAGAAATTTGTCTGACCACAGAGAAATCAAGATATTGGCCCACAATGAGAGTTTGCATAGACTGACAAGTCTCTTTTCTTCTTCACTGTCACTTCACGTGTACAAAATGAAGAACATAACTTTCCCTCCTCTTGTATTTAGCCCATCTAGGTATTGAATGTCTAATCCAATATTCATGCAAATCCACAATTTCTTTTGCTTTCTCTTTTTGGAGATGTATTTTCTTTCCTTTTCTCTCCTTCTTTTCTCCCCCCCTTTTTTAGGGGGGGAGATTTATAAGTAATCATATTATTTCTGTCAAACTTTCATTGAGTCATCATTTTAAATAATAATAAATATCAGCAAAAATGCAATACAGCTTCTCATTAACTGATGATGCTATTTTTTATTAAGGATTTTTTTTCTACAAGAAAGATAGAGATAGAGAAAAGCAGTTGATATGTAATGGTAGCCGCCCACCCTATGCCCCAAAGAAAACTGTTTGCCATATAGGAGCACAAAAAAACCACCACAGCTTAATATCAATAAGTCTAGGAAGCTGCACAGTTTTCTCAACCCTTCAGTTTTCACATCAAAGTAAATGGGTTCCTAATCACATACCTGGCATGTGGAACCAAATCAGTGTAGAAATAACTGCTTCAAACAAGAATATTGTAACCAGTGGGGACCTTACAAATATATCCCAGCTATATATAGCAATCTTATCCAGAAGTATTATCTGAATATGTGCTATTTCTAAATCTACACACTTAAAGGAACTGGCTCTTTTCAAAGTCTTAAAGTACGACATTTCTGAGATTAATTGGCTCCCCTCATCTCAAACTAGCGTACCCCCTGCCAATTGCAAAATGTCTGTAAAAAGAACTAAATGGTTTAAAATAACTACATACATTCAAATAACTACAGGATATGCCATGTGCAAAAAGCAGATCATCATGTCTGGGATCTTGAATAAGATTAGCATGAGAATTTCTAATTTTAAACAAATGTCCCTTCCTAATGAAAACTTAACATCCTGAACAATTGCATAATCAAGATCCAGCACAGATATTAGAAGTTGTAAAAAGACAGAAATAACAGCAGTAGGAAGGGGGAAATGTTCAAATGCCAATAAATTGGATTCTGAATAGCATGGGTTCTAGCCGATTCTGAATCATATGCTGCATGCATCCAGTTATTTGACATGAATAAATGTTCTGTTTTAGTGATGCTTGGAATTTTTATCACTTCCAGTTTCCTTATGCACTACTTAGAGACTCATGATATTTCATGGGTGCATGGTCTGTTATGGGTAATGGATTCCAGAACTATGAGTTTTTCCAGCAACAGCTCACAGCAGCCACAGAAAATACCACTGGTATCCAAGCAAAAGAAAAGACAACATATTCATTAGGCCTACCCTAACAGCTCCATGTGGCACTGGCCAGTTCTAACACAGGAAAGATGCTAAAGAAGGGGGAGTTTAGGCTTAGAGATACCTATAATCTGTCTCTTGGTTTCCCAGAAGCAGGGAAGAAGGTGAGCAAGAACATCACTTGGAAAGGAGTATGAGCATGAGAGAAGCATGACACACCCACCAAGGTTACTGCTCGGTTTGGTACGGAATACCTATTAAGCCCAAAGTACTTTTCATATAGACAGAAAGAGTGGTGGATAGGCCCTCACTGAAATGAATGGTGGGAGCTGCAGCATAGGAAAACCCAGAGACCTTGCACATCAGTATTATTAATGGGAAGAGAAAACAGAACTTTTAAAATGATAGAAAGGCAACAATAGTTTAGTGTATAAGGAGATGTTTTAATAATTAGAGAAGAACAGATTGGTGAGAAAGATCTGATTTTCTCACAGAGGCACTCCATAATACATAATGATATTTATCACTGAAGAGTGATATTTATCACTTGAACCACACAGAAGTAACTTACTTCATTTTAAAGTTAGGCTGAAGTGCAATCTCTCTTATTTTGATATGTCTTATTAAGGTTGGTTTTCTTTTCATTAAGAAAGAGAAAGTGGTTGTTTCTTTGAAATCAAGGGGCCAAATTACTTACACAAACATATAATTAACTTATGGGCCAAATGACTTTCTCTGGATAAGGATCTTCATGAAGAGTCAAATTAATAGTATAAGATATATATGTATCATTTTAAAGTTAGGCTGAAGTGCAATCTCTCTTATTTTGATATGTCTTATTAAGGTTGGTTTTCTTTTCATTAAGAAAGAGAAAGTGGTTGTTTCTTTGAAATCAAGGGGCCAAATTACTTACACAAACATATAATTAACTTATGGGCCAAATGACTTTCTCTGGATAAGGATCTTCATGAAGAGATGAAGTATAAGATAGTATAAGATATATATGTGACTTTCCCCGATTTAACTTCATGCCATACAGAAAAGGTCTAAATCAGTGGTGATGAACTGAGTCTCCCCGAGACCCCCAACAAACCCCCCAAGATCTTTCATGTCTGAATTAAAAATAAGAAATAAAATATGGCTGAAGAAGTTCAGGATGATAAATACCAGTCAGTTTATCTTCCATTGCTCTCTAGGAAGTATGAGGTACAATTTTACCATGTTTTACATATATCTATCTCATCTCCACCAAAAATCTTCCTACGTCTTGTCTAAGTAACATACATGGAAGTGTAAGAAACAAAGGCCTAAATTAAACACCTTCCTCTGCTTTGGGGAGTTTCTGTCCCTCCTCCATGACATCTTTCTGAACTACAGGAAAACTGCTCTTTAAACCTACTCTCCAGTGCCGGATTTTAGGGCATCTCGGGGTAGGAGGCAGAATTGTCCCCTTCTTCCTTGCACTTTGAAGAAGCTGCTGCCATAGCAAAGCAAAAACAATAAAGGTCATCATTGTACTAGATCAACCACTGAAAACAAATGTGTCTCTGAACAAAGACAACTTACCAAGATATGGGAGTGATTTTTAAACAAAATATTGATTTCAGAGATCACATAAGCCTTGGTTAATTAGGAAATAAACTCCTCTAGCCATGAATGACTAGCAATATTGATTTTTTAAAAAAAGTAGAAATAATTTGAAAGAAAATATTGAAGTGCTTGTATAATTCTCCTCCATTAAAAAGGCACACTACTGAAAATATTGCATTAATTTTAAAACAAAAACACAAAAGAAATCAACTAATGAGAATGAGAGAGGATATTTTGAAGTCTAGTCTTTTGTTCCTAGCTCCTAGTGGTGTTTTCTGTCCGTACACACTTGCACATCCGTCCCACAAAAACCAAGATATTTAAGTTTGTGCACTCAGACCTACATACACATCTTATTGGGACTCATTTTTATTTTCAAAATAACTAGACACTATTCTAAGGCTGCTAGAAATGAAGTCACGTTTCTGGTTCTTAACATCAAGAACGGGTTGTGTTGCATTGTAATGACACAGTATTCTGCCTTTCCTCTTTCTGCTGTCAGCACTCAGCAAGGTGGTATGGGAGGTCAGGAAACAAGGGGAATCACAGTACTACAAAACTAGTTCCCCCCACCCTCAAAAGTAGGCAAGAAATAACCTTTTGACTGTAGACCCCTGTAGTTGGAAACATGCAAACACTCGGTGTGGGACTATAAATTTCCAGAACCCCACAGCCAGGATGGCCACTGGCTTCACTGGCTGGGGGATGCTGAAAGTTGCAGTCTTAAAAATTCATATGTATTGAGATGGGAGAGGAGACAAGTCACAAAGAATTAGACCCATGGTTAACAATGTATGGAGAAGCACTTAATAAACATGTCACCAAATGCTTATATTCCAAGGGTAGAGGCAAAAATAAAGGAAAGCACAACGAGAAACTTGATTCTACCCATTATTCTCTCTCCAATTAATCACAGATTTTGATAATGTACACCTAACTGCACCTTAAAACTGCATATCAAAACACAACTGCAACTAAGATATCTCACTTTGACTTTCTTATAAAAATGTTCACAATAGTACCTCTTCTATAGTTCAATAATTTCAAGACTCCTTTGAGTGGGGCAGGAAAGACTATGTGTCCATTCTAGAGATGTGGATGAATTGGAAAACCAGTGGCTCATGATGGTTCATGCTTCAGGGCTAACCACAAACCACCACAAACACCCAGAAAAACAAACCAGTTCATGATTCATTTTTCCAGTTTGTGCCCAGGGAGTAGATCAACCTGCTCCTGCCCTCTGCCTGTACCTCTGCCTCCTCAGTTGTCCATCCACCCCCTTCCCACGACCTCTATTGCCTCCCTACCTGCTCCTGCCATTGTCATCATCCTCAGAGGCAGCAAGCCTGTCATCCCTTCCTGGAGCCAGAGGCTGCCTCCGCACATGCACCCGGCCATCAGCTGGGTGGTAGGTGCATGCACAGAGGCACCAGCCAGCTCCTGAAAAGGAAGCCAGGCCTGCTGCCTCTGAGGATGATGACAGTGGCAAGAGCAAGTAGGGAGATGATGGGGGCAGTGGGAAGGAGTGAGTGGGCATTCCATTTTGCCTAAGCAAAATGAAGCACAGAGGAGAAAAAAGTTTGGTGCTTCCTTTTGCTTCAGCAAAACAGGATCTTCAGACCAAGTCATGAACCAAACCATGAAGCAGCCCAATTCATTGGTTTTTCTGGTTTGCAGTTCAATTTGTGTCCATCTCTAGTCCCATCATTTTAGAGAAACTTGCCAGTCCAAATCAAAACCTACTCCATCAAGTGGTTTTTCTTTAATGGATGGGAACTGTCTAGTTGAGCACCAGCATAGAGACCAAGCAAAAGTTCACTTACATAGTTGAGCAAGTGTCTTGCTCTGCCATCAAGTGAAGAAAAGAACACCACTAGTCACTAGCAAACAAAGATGAAAAGCAACTTTCCAATATAGGTTCATTAAAACACACTGAAATAGCCAGGATCCTGTTACTCAAATGCAGAGTTCCATGCACCAAATGGTACTTTTCCAGCACGGTACATAGGGATGCAGCTGGAAATCAAATCACTGATCCTTCATATCTAAGTGGAAGTGCTTTCTGCTTTTGTCTACTGGAGACCCCAAACAGCAGGTCCACTGTGCACATTTGTCCTACACATCTCTATTCAGCAGTTCAATGAAATTTACTTCTGGAAAACTGTGTATGAGACCCAGTGTGGTACAGACTGCAGATAGAGTGTCTGCCTAAGACTAAAGAGATTTGAGAACAAATCCCCCATTAGGCCATGGCAATGGTAAACCATGCCTTGAACATCTCACACATTTTGAAAACCTTGTTAAATTAATCAAATGTGCATAGGGCTGCAGCTTAATATTTTAAAGGAAACTTTGATTTCTGAATTTAAGTTTCTTAACACAAACTGCTTCATTACTTTATCAGTTGAATGGCATTCTGTTTTGCTCTCTCTAAACATCAACTATTTTGAAAAATTATTAAGCAATATCAGCAGAAACTGTATGACAGTTCAAGTGCTGCATAAAGCTAAAATCATACATTACCTGTAGTCCCCATAAAGGCAAGCTTCTGTTCACCCAAATAATAGGCGACCTGTCAAATTACAGCAACAGAATGAGTACACCCTTGATGGAATACTAGCATGTGTGCATTTTTAAAAATCTTGCTCAAAGGTCGCAATAAGCTTGACCCTACTCTGCACGGCAAATAAATCACTGCCATGAGAAACAAGAAAACTAATGTCCCTCACCCCAAGATATCCTCATTAACAACCTGATGGTTAAAATGCAAATGCTTCAAAATATTTCAGTTCATAGTGCCAAAAGAGGTACTGTACAATGCTACAGCCATGGAACTGAATGGCTAATTCAGGATAACAAATGGCAGTCAGCTCCTCTCCTATTGCTGCAGTGTCATGAAAAGCAAATAATGGCCAACTCAACACATTGCTGCCATGAAGGAGTCATCAAGAGAAACTCAGGGGGTGTTTTTGTTTTCAGCACACTGCTGGGGCCCCAACTCTAGAGCTCGATGCATTTCTGTGACTGAGCACCAATCACAACATTCAAAAGACTGCTGATCCACAGGTCTTTATAAACTTAGGGTTTTTTTTTTCATTGTGACTATATGGTGTCATGGTTAGGATAATGGACTGTGATTTTACAGTCCCAGGTCCTAGTCTACCCTGAGTTGAGGGACCTTGGATCAGTTCACTTTCTCTTAACTTAGATTCCACTTCACAGGTTTCTTATGAGGATAAAGTGGGAAGGAGAACAGCCATGTATGCTGTTTTGATCTCACTGCAGGGAAGACAAAATACAAATGCAATACAGCAGGACCCACATATCTGTGGGATCAGTATTCACAGTTTCACTTATCCCCGGTCTGAAATACTAAAAGAAAAATCGCATTAACCATTAGTGGGAACCAGAGAACATCCTATTACTCATGATTTTTAGCACAATTGGATTTGGGCAATCAGATTTACATACCCCTGATTTAACTATAACAATTCATTCTTATGGTCCTGCTAACATTCTGGACAAATGAGGTCTGCACTGTTCTGGATAATATTACTCTAAAAATGAGACTGGCCCCTCCTCTTTCAAATACTTGAAAAAGAATAAGAAAGCCACTGGTGACTGTTTTTGAACCTCAAAGAAATGGGAAAAGCAGCCTGCAGTTAGCTTGCAAGATTTTATGGCATGTGAAGCAGGCTGGGAGAACTTTCTTTGATTCCAGCACAGCCAAAGACTGAACAAAATAGTCTTCTTACCAGTGCATAATCTAGAACAATTTGAAAATGTCAGTCACATATTTGATAACAAGAAAGTACTGAATCAAAATCCCAATGGACCATGTTGCCGAAGAAAAGGTGTTATTCACCCTCTCTGATTTTATATTTCAGATATCACCACAGCTATTATGTATCTCCCCACTTGCAAAAATACAGCCTGTCTACATCAGCAAACATATTATTTTAGGAAGACTATATAATAACTTCTAAAGTTCAAACACCTTATTACTGTTGTAAACACAACTTTAAACTTACCAATCTATTTTTGCAGGAGTGTTGTTCTGACCGGAACATCCTCGGATTAATTCCTTACTACCAGACATCCAAATGCAAAATCCATTTTCATTTGCAAGTAGCATAATAGCATAACAAATTGGTATAATGGAGAGAAAGGGGGGAGAGGAACCAGACAAGATAATTAGCTTTTTGTAATGACACTTTTTAAATTGTTGCAGAAGATTATGCAGAACAGTCCAATAACACCTCGTTTGAGAAAGCGGAGCAGTTCAAAATGAGGAAGATCAATATTATTTTAACCTACATGGAATGTGCCAAAACTGGACATGGGGACTGCTTGTTCGTGCATAAATTTGTTACCATATATGTTAGAATGAAGTTTTTAAACAAAGGAACAATTGTCTGTGAAAATTCCAAATTAGGGGTTGGGCGCAAAATTGTTCTTCTGTTACCAGAAAGCCTTTTCTGCAAACAAAAGTTCCTTCCGGACTTCAGAACCTGAGTGGATCATCTGAATAGGAAAAGTCTTGTATGTTTGTAATGTACAAACATTAGCAACATTAATTAGTAAGATTTAACTAGTAGTATTCATCTGGGCTTATTAAAGCCCCTGGCCCAGTCTTACAAGTATCTTTTTGCAAAACTAGAACATCCTGAACAATAAAAGCTTTCAAGGGCATGTAGCAAAGTGATGTATTCAACTATAGTTTATAAATCATATCCTTTTTTTTAATTTAGATTTTTTTTTATTAAACTGTAAGGAACCCCAATATATTTTAGCACTGCACTGTGAGGGGTCTTCTGCTACCACTTGAGCAAAACTTCACAGAGGAACACTAATGTATGTTTTTTTCTTTCTACTGGCTCTCTAGATGACAGCTGAAGAAAATATGCTTGTTATCTATAATTTACATAACTCACAGAATTCAGTTTTTCTTGCTACAAAATCAAAACTGCCTAGGTGCAATTTTTTTAAAAGATCCAAATAGCAAACCAACAACGTATGGCAAGTGTTCCTGCACTTACATTCATTTATGCCTAATGTTATCTAGTATAAATACCTCTACTTACACCCCGTCTCCTGCACTAATGTCTAAGATAAAAATATGCACATTTTTGTTGAGTATCATAATTTTTTCTTATAAATATCAATGTAAAGTTTTGCAGGCAGTGGGTCCCATCTGAATTTAGTTTTGTTTACAATAGATCAAATGCAATCCACAAGACTTCATTTAGTAAATAGCATCAATTTATTTTAGTGGCTCTGCCTGAAGCATGAATCCAAAACTAATGCTTCAAATGTCCTTTTTAAAAAAAATATTTTCTCCAAGCTGGAAATAATTTCTTCTCAAAAGCCATGTATATGCATGCACAGCTCCCTACCTGAAAAGATAAATAGATTCTTATTAGGATAGATAATAGCGAGGATGTATGAATAAACTGGGACGTGGTGGCGCTGCGGGCTAAACCGCAGAAGCCTTTGTGTGCTGCAGGGTCAGAAGACCAGCAGTCGTGAGATCGAATCCACATGATGGAGTGAGCTCCCGTCGCTTGGTCTCAGCTCCTCGCCAACCTAGCAGTTCGAAAGCATGTAAATGCAAGTAGATAAATAGGTACCATCTCAGTGGGAAGGTAAATAGCATTCTGTGTATAGCCGCGCTGGCCACGTGACCACGGAAATTGTCCTTGGACAAACGCTGGCTCTACGGCTTGAAAACGGGGATCAGCACCGCCCCCTAGAGTCGAACACCACTGACTAAAATGTCAAGGGGAACCTTTACCTTTACCTTTATGAATAAATTGGATGAGTGTCCTATATATTCAGACTGATAGAAATAATTCTAAATATGTACATCGGCAAATCTCACTCCATTTGATGGGAATTACAAGTTGTTCACCCGTTTTCTTGTCTTCAACGATGGTGGAAGACATCCTAAATTTCCTAATTTTACTGTCATTCAAGTGTTCTGTTACTGGGTCCAAAATGTCAAGTCAATTTATGGAAATATCACCAGGCCTCATTTTACAGGGTTTTAACATCTGAAACATCTTACTTAACGAAATCTTTAATGAACAAATAGTACAGTGTTTCTGTTACTACAAGAGGAAGCAGTCAAACATTTTGTAGGTGGAGGCCAATTTTAATAGTAGGCTATATATTGTATTTACAAAAATTGTATGAATATAATGCAGCAGAAAGATTAGTGTAAAATTCCTTAAGTAAAAGTCCCTCAAATGAAAAGATTAATTGCACTAGAAAATTACACTAGTTTCAACTAAGAAGGATACTGTTTGCTTTGACACAAACCATGTAGGGTGTAAGCAAAAAAAAAAAAATCCATTTGATTCTTTTCAATTTATAGTCTTTATCTAAAATTAGCCTGGTTGTTCATATATCTCTAGACCAGTGGTTCCCAGCCTTGGGTAACGTCTGGTGTTCATGGACTGCAACTCCCAGAACACCACTAGCAGTGCTGGCCAGGATTTCAGGGAGTTGCAGTCCAAAAACACCAGACATTACCCAAGGCTGGGAACCACTGCTTTAATTAATGCCACCAGCATAAGAATAGACTTATGAGCTTACACCAGCTGAAGAACAGAATCGAGGGTTTTATTTTTGCCAATGAATTTCTACACATCTTACACTAGTTTTATCAATCCCTCCTCTTCTGCCACTTTTCTGTATTCCAGTTGCATTTGTTAAGACTAATCACATTTTCTCAATCCTTAATTTATAATGATGTTTATAAAATGTTCCTCATTCCATTTCCCCTGCAGAGAATGTGAATTGCCTGATCTTGGGTACATGGCAGCATGAAAGAGTTAGCAATCTGCTTTCTTTCTTTCTTTCTTTCTTTCTTTCTTTCTTTCTTTCTTTTTGGTATTAATCTGCTGTTAATTGCTAGTCTTCAAACTCCTGAACACATCTAATTTATTTTATTTTTTCGTTCTTTTGAAGTTGCTAATGCACATGTAGGAAAACACCATACAAAAATTGTTCCAACTTTTTTTGAGCAGGGGTTTTCACACTGCTATGCAAGACAAATGGACACACATACTGTACTGGTTCACATTGGTAGCTTCAAACGGTTGGAGTAACATGAAATGGAAATAGCCAACTGCACATCTGCCAGTTCGAAAATTAAGTTAAGCAGGAAGATGAGGTGGCAGTTAGTGTCACCCGCCAGCATGTTCATCATCAAATGGTGAGGATTGGCTGAACTATGGAGCCATTTTGACTAAGTTAAGTGCACTTGAGAGGGAAAGGGGGCTTGCCAGATGGGTGGCCAGTTCAGCTACAACAAGGAGATCCAGCCAGGACTCCAAGGCTTGAAAGATGACCAAACTAAAGCAGAAGGTGATTTAATGTTATCACGTATTGCTATTTTAGAAAGTGAGAGCCCTGTTCCTTCAGAAGCCTTTCCCACAACTGAGTCACCTGATGAGTGGCAGGCTCCACCTTTGTAAGCGGCAAAGCACAGGGATCAACATCTGGGCAAGGAGCCAAGAGAGGGTACCTCAGAGGAGAGATGCATGAGCCGTAGAGAGGCTGGAGAAGAGGTGGTGGTTGGCAACCTGCCAACAGAGAGGGACAGTGGTGCTATGGCAGCAGCCACAAACGCTATACTAGGTGAACCACCACCCACACCAGTGATTACACAAGGGGGTAGGTTTTGGCCTTGGGGTGTGGTTAGTTCATATGGGCTCTTGCAGGCTCCCATGCAACAATTCTTGGCTGATCGAGGGAGTGGCGTGCCACCAGTGGTATGAACTGGACTGGCTTCGAAGCCTTGGACAGTGCCATACCCTCAGTGGTCCACACCTAGCCAGTGCCCAGGTTACCTGGATGGGTTTAGACAACGGGCACTTCCCATAATTCCAGATACCAGATATAACTCTGTAGCAAATAGGGCCCTGCCTTATGGAGATCAGTCTCTGCTACTGAGAGATCATCTCCTATCGGCCACAGTGGAGAAGATTTGAGAGGAAAAATATGTTGATATCTTTGAGTTACTGAATAGGCAGCTGGAAGAAAAGTGAGAAGGAAGATTGCAACTGGACGATGTAGTGATCTTCGAAGATTGAATCATTGTTCACCTGAGGAGATCCAAAAATGACCAAATGGGAAAAGGGAAAAATATACAATTGTGTTGCTGTTGTATGGTTAGCTTTTGGCTGGTACAGGCTATGCACAATTACATTTGAGTGCAGGGTAAAGCATCTGATGAACTGTTTTGTCACAAGGATCTGTCACCATTGACAAAATATAAGTTTTGGACGATTACGTCATATGACCTGAACAAGGCTGGCATAATGGGTTGGAAATTTGGAACCCATTCTTTCCACATTGCAGCTGCATCTATGGCAGCAGCTCTTGGATATGGAGAAGAGCAAATAAAGATGATCGGGAGGTGGTCGTCCCACAGATTTCAGGCTTATGTGCGCTCTTTGCCGCAATAGATACTGGTGTTGTCCATTCTTCTTTTACAGGTTCTGAGTTTCCGAAAAGGAGGTTAAGAGTTTGTTTATGCAGCCATAGTTTTATATTATGGACAGCCAAGTATGCTGCATGTTCCAGTTGGGGGTGTAATGTAAGCCTTGGTGCATGGGCCACATTGGAATGGATGAGACTAAGAGGCATGCTGTGTGAAGGGTTTGTGGAAATGGCATCCCAAGGTACTCTGGATGTGCCCCCAGACATTATATTGGTGCACCTGGGTGGAAACAACTTGGCTCAGCAGAAGGGCAACTCACTTATATTGCAGGTGATTGCGAATCTACAGGTCATTAAGGCCAGGTTCCGAGGAGTACATATAATATGGTCAAACATTATACCAAAGTTGGTATGGAAGGCAGAATGTGACCCCAGATGTATTGACTGTGCCAGACATGGAGTCAATCGTGAAGTTGGGAGAGCTGTAAAGGATGGCTTGGAGTTGGTGGTTATGTAACCAGACATTCGGATGGAGCAACCTGAATTGTTCAGTGAGGATGGGGTGCATTTGTCGGGGTTGGACCTGCTCCTTAAGGATTTGCAAGTGTCAAATTGGGCTGGAATTCTTGATTGGGGGGAGGTGTAGGGCATACAAATAGCCCTTTTGCTGTGGCAGGTAGTGTGAAAAGTAAGAGCTTGGTGAGTTCCAATTAGTCATCCCATCTCCCAGATTGGTGGAATCAGGATTTATATGAAGGGGGAAGGGAATTAAGGAGATCTGGGCTGCAGTGCAACTAGGGTCATGTGGCTCAGTGATTGCAGCATTGGTGGTAGTCCCACAGATTGCAGGTGAAGTCATGCTAAGCAGAGAACAGCACGCTTCAGTAATAGGAACACGCACCTGGTGGTCTGATCCAGATGTGTAATGTATAATGAATTCAGAATATAATTTGGCACTATAGTAGGCCCCCTTGTGAAAGGGGAAGTTAAAATTAAAGTTAAAAAGTTAATAAAGTAGTTTTATCCAATTTCTGTGTCTCAACTCAAAGTCTCAGAGACAGTGATGCCAGAAATAAGCAGGGAAGAAAGCAGGTTGGAAAAGGAAGTACAAGGAAGCATGGAAAGCCAGTGCAGCAAAGCAGATAGACTGATAAACTAGGACTCATGAGACCTGGGTTGAAAGTCCTCCTCAGCTATGGAAATTCACTGGTGTGTGTGAAAGTGGCATAGGTAATACCACTCTTTAAATATCTCACACAGCTTGGAAAATCCAACAAGGATCTCCATAAGATGGAATCAACTTGACAGCACATGACACAAAATGCTTTAGCGCTATTCACCCACATCAGGACACAAATCCAGATAACTGCCAACATGAAGGAAGCAAAAATACTGATCTGGGACAACAGTGCCTTTTATGAAGAGACCCTGGCTTCAGTTTTGCAGACAGAACTCTGCAAAACTCCAGGGACAAATTTGAGCAGGCTGATCAAAACTAAATTTCTTGTATATTCCAACAAAAGTGGAAATTGGCAGTTTCATACCAAAACTTTGCTTTTGTTAAAAGTCACTGACTGACTCATGCTTTAGTTTAAATAAAACACTCTCCCCCTCCATAAAGTTTTGCTTAAATGAAATATATCTATTCCAGGAAATGTGTTTCTAATCACCTATTGAGATTGAATAAGTTATGATGCAAAAAAAGTCAAAGAGCCTTGTGCCCATACATTTTCTTCTGCCCTTGCGTGTACAGATGTACTCCCTTGCTTCTGTGTTTTCAGAAAATTATACAGCAGAATCCTATTGGTGGCACTCAACAACATAATACAACCTGTGTAAATCTCAACAGCAAACTGCCACAAGAAATAATCACAAGATTTGCTTTTGCCTGCTCAGTCACACAACTGACTACATCGACTTCAGTTTGCTGTCAATTGCATTATGATAGCATTAAAATGTAAAAGGTTTCCAGACACAATTTGCAATGTGTTTTTTTTTTAACTGAGCAAAGAGTTGGTCATTAGCCATTACTTAGAATCCTGTCCTTTGACCTAACCATGATGAAATCTGAAATGAGCTGACACATTTAAAATTAAGGCTCTGTTTATAGAACAAATAGCCTGCAAATGACTGTTCTAGTTTGCTGAGCATGGAGACCAACAAATAAAAGAAGCAAACATTACCATCCATGTTGCTGAGATGGATCATCCAGGAGCACTCGGACTATATACAAGAAACAGCTTAGTAACTTGAGTGAAAAATTGAACAAGCGTATTCTGAGGCCTGTTTTGGGAGAGAAAAAAAGGAGTAAGTAACCAATCAGTTTATTTCAAGTTAAAAGTCTTTAAAACAAAATTACAAACTGGATGAAACTGGCTTCCTTCTGGCTAAGAGGGCATGGAAGAGAAATGAGAATGCCCAGATATTAATCAATGTATTGATTATGAGCTTCAGACAACCTCCTACCTCATCTCAGGGCTACTGTACAACAAACTGGGGGGGATCATAGAGGACGACAGGTGATGATAGCAGGTGCTTGAATTTGCTTTCTCAGCTCCCCACAAGGCCATGTTACAACCAAGCTCTTGTGTGAGAGAACCAAAAGAGGAAGATAGCACCACAGGCTTGTTTCTGGTCTTGCTGGATGAAAGCTTCACTCCAGCAAATGGTCACCCATTATCAATTGCTCTATGAGGGAAAACCAAAGAGGAAAAGTGAAGCAACTAAAGATACACCCAGAGATTTATAGGTGTATCCAAGCCCTTGGCTCTCTTCTATTCCACCTTCCCATAAGTCTGAACAAGGAAGTGGCTGAAATGTGACCTCATGAGATTTTGTCAACTGTGAGATCCCATAAAATTCCGTATCAGTAGTGAAATCTTGAGTGGTATCACTGCCAACATGAGCAGATCGTCCTAAGATAATGGGAACTGCAGTTGCTGTGAGTGAAAGGTATTGTTTGTAATAAAGAGAGGAGAAAGAGAAACAGAATGGAAAGAGAATGAGAGACAGAGAAGAGAGAGAACATATGGTAAGGCTGGTAAAACATTATCTGATACTTATTTCTACATTATATGGAAGTTGAATCATGGCACCTCAACTTCTTTCTTATTAGGTTGAAACATTTCATCCAAGTAGCTTCTTCAATCTGAGTAGAGTTTTGCTATTCGTTCAAGTAAAAGAAGTAGCAAAACATTTCAACCTAATTAGAAAGAAGTCTAGTTGCCATGATTCGACTTCCAGATAACCTCACCTGGATGACTGAGAATATTCACTGTTATTTGTACATTAGTTCATCCTGTTAAATATGGCGACCCTCCACAGCTGATACAGAAATATACTGTTTATTTTCTGTCCTGACATACATACAAAAAAGACCTGTTGGGGCAGGAATCAGCAATGTCATCAGAATATTAAGCAGGTTTAATGCAAGCAGTTGCAAATTCAGGTCAGGGCGGATTTCTCATGGTGGCTTAATGGAAGGGCTGCATGTTACATCCATCAATGGGATGTCACAGAGAACTATCTCATTGTTTCAAGTTATGCCCTCACAAAATTTAGAACAACTTAGCATATGGGTTTCTGCCAAGTCATTGGCTACATCAATAGCCTCATAATGATGTCAGTGAATTCTGTGGAAGTAATCTTAATCTCATGAACAGAAAACAGGAGGATGACAGGGAGATTTTGATTGTTTGAGCATTCCCATTATGTATGTACCCAGGATTTTTATATTCAAAACATAAAGGCAAATTATCAGTGTCTGTGACAGTAAGAAACCACAGGGAAGAGAAATGAAACTTCTGCTACTATGTCTTTGCTCTGTCACAGTGCCACTACAACAATTAGCATTTCTCCTGTATATCACTGTCTAGTTTTTTATTCCCCTTACGCAACCCAGCAAATACTTCCTACTGTCAATAGTGCCATCTGGCAAAGGCAACTGATGAATGCTAATAACATTGCAAGTGTTAGGAGTATGTGCTGTTAACACATTTGCATGGTGTTTTCCGCACGTGGTGGCTAAAAATGTTCTGACGTCCCCAATGTTACCAATTTCTTCCCTGTTTCCCTTCTGAAATTGCATCTTGTCTTTTTTTTTTTTTTTTGCCCTAAATTTCAATTGATGAGAAGTAGAGAAAAGGTTTTCTGGAGGAAAGCAATGCTCTTAATTTGAGACCAGAACATCCTGTTTTCCAAGCATAAGTGTTCACCCCAAAGTAAAATTGTGGTCCCCTTTCCTACCTGTTTTGACCACAGCAGAGGAGAGCAGGGGTTATTGTTGTTAACTTAAGGATATGTGTTGTCTACTGGGCACATAATGTCTTTAAGATTCATAGATAAAAGGTAAACATGAAGGTTTACATACATGACTCCTCAAATCATATTTATCAACATAAAGGAGCCTTGGACCTTTTCTAACGGAGACACTAAATTGTCTCCCATTATAGCCCTGATCTCCATTGCTGCACTCTGCAGTCGTTTTTACATGTCCTATGACTAGGAAGTTGATTGATTGATTGATTGATTGATTGATTGATTGATTGATTGATTGATTGATTGATTGATTGACTGACTGACTGACTGACTGACTGACTGAGTTATTGATTTTATTGTGCTTATGCCATGTCTTTTCTTTAATAATCTTAACCGTGTACAGTACATGGTTCTTCTTGCTCCTTATTTTATGCTTACACCAAACCTGTGAAGTAGGTCAAGTGGAAAAAAACAGTCTGTTGAAGGTCACTCAAGAGGTTTCACAGCTAATTTATTAGAAGCCTGCTGCACATGGTCCCACTCTGCCTCTGTAGGCCACAACATGCCAGTCAGAGAGGAGTGGAACAGAAAGAAAGGAGGGGAGAGTGGGAATAGCTAGAAAAACAAGAAAAAGAACAAAATGAGAGAAAACTGGCACAGAGGGGAAAAAAGAATGAACCAATATTTTATGTTACATAGAAGATTAAAATATCCTGGCACTCCACACACATGGCTGGGGCTTTAATGGATATTGCACTGTTATCATGCATCATCAAGAATCCATTTTATTCCAAAAGACATACTTTGAATAGTTCCAAGGAACATAGGTAAGGCTCTAGAAACCTTCATAGCAGAGGTAAAGATTCTCCTTTCTAAATACTGTAAGCTGTTTATCTCCCTAAATTCCCTTTGTACATCCTAAAGGAGACCCACCTAAACTGTTTCTGCTCTGTCCCTTTCTTTTTTCTGCCTATCCTAGGCCTCAGGACAACCTTACTGATGCTTTTTTGTTTGCATAAACACAAGGAAAACCAAACACTCCTATAGCCATATTTTGTACAAGATTACCCAGTGCCAAACGTCACTGAGTTCAATGAGACCAAAAGGATATTTTGTTCCAACATTTTCCCAATTTTTAAAAACACCAGCAAGGGCCTTTCAAAAAACACTTTGCAAACTTATTACCTAGAGATTCTGTACAAAGTCTTAGAGGGCAATCAGATGAGCTTACTATTTGGGTTTTTTTTTGGTACATTTTGGTTTGCCGTATTTTCCTGCAACCACATGTGTTTTCAATAAGAGCAATCCATCCAACTCCTTTTACAAGTTGTCTTGCTCCTTTCTGGCCTAACTCTAGGGCTTGGTGAGATTGGGTGTGCTCCTGATTATGCCATTCTGTAGCATAATTCTGTAGTCTCTCTCTCTCTCTGTTTCTCTCTCTGGTTAATTTGAACCCAAATAGAGCTGGGGACAGTGTTATTTGGGTGACAAAACTGTGATGCATTCAGGGGTTTGTAACATTAAAAGAGAGCTATCTTACAGGAGATGAAATGCTTCCCCCATGAATGGAAGGATTGCTCAAGTGCAAGATAAAACAGATTGCCCCAAAGATGAGAACCTTTTAAATTCGAACTGGCTCATTCCAACTTCCTCCATTTGATCATACTCGAATTAAGAGGAAGTTTCTAGTTTCTTGGCAGAAAGACATGAAGCCTTCAAGGAGAGCCTAAAGGCTCTCATGAAAATTGAACTGCAAGAGTTCTGTATTCTGCACATGATTTAAGATTTCCTTGCCCTCATCTGTCTGTCTGTCTGTCTGTCTGTCTCTCTCTCTGTCTGTCTCTCTCTCTCTCACACACACACACACACACACACACTTATCTTGCTAGGAAAAATAATTAGTGTTTTTAATTGAAAATTTAGATTGTAACAGTCTCATCAGTAACGAGATCTATCTGCACCCAAGCAGGTAATTCAAATCAAGAATAAAAGACAGCACACAGCTCAGAGGCATAACATTTTTAATTACATTACCTAGCATTGCTTTTAGAAGAGGAATATTGTCAGCATTAGAATTTTACAGGATTCTCGATCTGAAGAAGTAATCCTTCCTCAGCATAATCTATCATTTGAAGAGCCAACATGAGAAGGTCATTTCAAATAGCTCTATGTCAAAAATCTTATGAATGGTTTTGTACTTTCTGGGAAGGACAGATGCCCCTCCAAAAAGTCATAGAACACCCATGTTCCCTAGCAAATAAGGATTCAATGAGGAGAAACAGCTCCCCAAAGGAGTACTTTAAAATGATCTTCACATTGTGACCATGTGACATACCCTAGCCCTTAGCAGAGGTTGATCTTCCCTTGAGGTTTATATGAGCCAAGTGCTTCATGTGGCAAATTATATAGCAATTTCCCTATCTGTTTCTCCTGAGCCTGTCAGTTGTTTTCCACTCTCAGATATGATGGACCTTCTTGTTAGTACCCAATAATTAAACAGTTGTTATTAACTACAAAAAGGTTAAAAATTAAGATTCAGTTGACACTTCGGTCTTCTGTACATTAACAGCCAAAATAATAGTTACCTTCCAGAAACATCCATTTGAATCCCTTATGGCAAAGGGTGGTGTAATCTCCAAAGGTTCAAGAGCTTCATAAACATACTCCTGGACCTTAGAGGCAATATATGTTCCTGGGATCCATCTCACCCATTTTTTTCCTTACAAGGGGAAAACAGAATCTTATAGGTGGTTACCGAAAGCTTGTTTCCATCTTCTAGCAAAAATTGAAAATAGTTTAAACATTTGGGTGGCTGAGTCCTCAAGAAGGGCTGGTGTCCCTCAAAGCACAGGGAAGTTTCTCCCTTTCTCTCTAAAAAGCATGAGTAGACTTTTCAGCCAAAGATTTACAAACTTTTCCCACAAACTCAGAACAAACATTTTCCAAGTATTTTCAAAAAATTAAAAATGGGAGAGGGGAAGTGCTGTGAGGCCTGAGGGATGCTGGAGGCTGCATTTAGGCTCCTG